ATCCGATGACAGAACAGCAGATGAAGAGAGGTTAATGACAGGCAGATCTACAGAAGGTAAACTAAGAAGATCTTCCAGAGTCGGGTCAGTACAGTAGAGCTTTTTGTCATGTCCACTGGGGCAGATAGAACCCCTGGTGAATCCTATTGCCTCTTAATCACTTCCTTAAACAGATCAGGACATGGAATAAAGTCCTGCTCAGGGGAGGGCACGGCAAATAGTTCGCCATGAGGGTGTGGTTCTGCTGACCCTTGGGCGGTCGGATTAACAATTGTGCCCATGTTCGTAGCAGCCTTAGCCTTCCTAAGCAATGTTTTAAATACAGCAGGCCTGAACAAGGTGGTGAACGCTGATCTCTCCGGAGGAGCTTCATCATCATCGGAAAACTCAGGCTCAACATGATCTCCTTCCGCAGTATATGAATCCTCACTAGGTGATTCTACTGGAGCTTGAGATACCTGAGCTAATACTGGAGGAGGAGGTGGAATGGGAGGGGGAGGAGGAGGCATGGGAGGATGGGGCAAAGGAGCTGAAACAGGAGGAGGAGGTAATGGCATCTGCCAGGCAGACCCGCCTGAGGGTGCCTTCCTTGTTGAAGGCCGGAAGTAATGGCCTTGGCCAAGGCATCTGTAAAAAGGGCTTGAAAGTCTAATTGAGGGGGCCAACCCAGTCCCTCTGGGGGACGGAGGCCAGCCGCAGTTGGCGTAAAGGTAGCCGAAGGTCCTGGCCTACACTCTGGCATGGCTTCTTGAGATGGAACAGGGAAGGATCCCCTGGGATCAGAAGTTGCCACTTGGGATGTTTGGGGGGGCAAATCCAGTTCCTGACCCCCAACCATCTGCTGGTTGGTTTCCTCAACTACCTCCCCCCTTAGCTGAGCTTGTTTCTGAGCTCTGGTAAATTGCTTTTCCAGGGCTTTGTGCCTCCTCTGCTCCTCCCTGCCCGTGGTAGAAGAACCACTGGAAGGCTGTCCTGTATTGGTGGAATGACCCCTAGATTTCTTCTTGGAAGTCTTCTTAGGCCTAGGGGTAATTGGAACCTGTTCAGGGTCTGATGAAAATTCCTGGTCAGCCATGGTAATTATCCAAGGCAGAATACCAGGTGCGACAGGGTAGCTAAGCTTGCAGTAAAACTACCAAGTTCGTTTAAGATCGCAGCCTCCAGTCACAGCAGTTTAAATGGGAATAAAATTTCCCTTTGAAAAATCCACCAGGTCCCAATAGTAAAGTCTGTACTCACGACAATGCAGTCACTCTTGGTAAGACTGGAGCAAAAGCGCCAGGGGCAGACAGTCCCTGAAAAGCGCAGCCTCGCTTCAAAGAGTGCTCAAAATGGCGCGAAAATTCCAAACGGCTCAGCAACTTCACAGCAGAGAAAATGGCGCTCGGAAAAAGCGCGCGAAAATCCAACGGCTCTGCTTCTCTATACAGCCAGCGCTGAAGTGGCTGTTTAAGGCTTGGCAAACAAGGCGCGAGAGACCGCAGTCCCCTAAGCGCCACAAGGCAAAGTCCAAAACAGACTTTGAACTCAGATCCCCGAGCAGGAACTCTGCAGCCGCCAACTAAGGAGGGAGCGAAATGGCGGCGAAGGGACAACCAGCGGACCAGCAATCCCGGAACGCACGCCGGCGGCCAAGAAACACAGCTTTCAAGCTGTTCGGAGCTTCAAAGGAAAACTGTGATTGCTGCAACTCAGGACAGGACAGTCAAGCCGGCTTCCCAGTGATGCCCACGTCAGCAGCTAAAGGCTAGCTGCCTGCGCAGCAGCCTCTCACACGCTCCAATCCTAATATTAAAATTTCTAACTAAACTATATACAAATATATATACAAAAATATTCAAAGCTATTCACACTATATACAAAATTACAAAGGCACTAATCCAAAGGCAAAATCTCACAAATGTAAGAGAACTATACTCACGTTCCTATACTAAGACTGAGAGAAATAACTGGCGAGCCACAGAGCAGGGAGGAGTGGCCAGAGGAAAGATTTAAAGGCACAGTACACTCTCAGTCCCTATCAAGCAAGAATGAGATAATCCCATCAATGAATTGTGTAGCATTGCCATGGAAAACATGGTTGTTACGTGAATCTGGCTTTTCCATTGCTTTTGTTTTTCAGAAGGTCACAAAAGGTGATCACATGCCCCCAGGGTATTTCAATCGTAAGTATGAGTCAGTTGCCAAGTATCTGAATTATGATCACATGACCATGGAGATGCTACAAAGGTTGTAACTGTGAAAATCGGTCATAAATCACTTTTTTCAGTGCTGTTGTAACTTCGAACAGTCACTAAATGTACTGTTGTAAGTTGAGGACTACCTGTAAATGATTTTAAAATACTGTAAGTGCCCGTATACACAAACTTTACAAACACAAATGGCCATATTGCATACAATATAGGGCAGGGGTGAAATTCAGCAGGTTCCGACAGGTTCTGGAGAACCGGTAGCGGAAATTTTGAGTAGTTCAGAGAACCAGCAAATGCCACCTCTGGCTGGCCCCAGAATGGGGTGGGAATGGAAATTTTGCAATATCCTTCCCCCAGGAGTGGGGAGGGAATGGGGATTTTGCAGTATCCTTCCCCTGGAGTGGGGTGGGAATGGAGATTTTGCAATATCCTTCCCCTGCCATGCCCACCAAGCCACACCATGGCCACAGAACCAGTAGTAAAAAAATTTGGATTTCACCACTGATCTAGTAGTGAGTCATCTTACCACTGATCTAGTGGTGAGTCATATTAATTATTACCTACTAACATATGGCCAGATAGATTCCATCACTGCATACTAAATGTACTAGTGAAGACAATTGCATAAGTCTTTGAAAACGTCTGGAAAACTATGAAGTTCCGGAAGATTAGAAGAGGACAAATGTCACCTTCAAAAAGGAGCATGAATCAGGAAACCACACCTATCAGTTTGACGTGTATTTTGAGCAAGATCCTTGATTTATAAATGATCAAGTAGTGCATTTGTGTGTGCTACAATGGGGTTCTACAATTAACCAGAATCAATCTGAGTTTGTTGAACACAAATCATGCTACTTTAATCTTACCTACTTCATTGCTACTTTAGGACAGCAGGGAATTAAGGGGTAGGGACCTAGCAGAAACTTAGTATACCAAAGTACACAACAAAGCCTTCATGATATCCTCTTCGATAAAATAGTAAACTATAGATTAGATTACTGTATTATGTCATCAAAGAGTACTATTAATAACTTTACTTCTGCAAGGAAGTAAACTGCCATTGAGTCCTGCTCTGGTCCTGTGCTGGTCACAGATTTTTTTTAAAACTAATGACTTAGTAGAGTGAGTTGAAGAGACACTTTTATAAATGATTCAAAACCAGAACAGCTAATTTTTCTGATGAAAGAGCAAAGATTAAAGAAGAGCTAATGAGACTTCAATAGTGAGCTGAAACAAGTAGAATGAAACTTTAACAGGAAAAATATAAAGTTTTGCACCTGAGTCTAAAACATGTAAGATACAAGTACAGGATGGGAAAGATCTGCTTGGTAATATGCATGAAAGAATATGGATGTCTAGGTTGTCTTCAAGTTAAACCTGAGCCACTGGTGTGATACTGGTGCTAAAAAGGCAAATGATATCTCAGGGAGTTTTAGTAAGAACGGAATCCAGAACATGTAAAGTAAATGTCCTACTGTACTCCATCCTGATCAATCCCAATTTGAAGTATTGTCCAGTTCCAGGTGCCATAAGGAAAGTGACAAATTGGAGCATGATCTGTCCACTACATGGTGAAGGACCCAGAAAACAAATTCTATGACAAAGTTAGAATATCTGGCTATGTTAAATATAGAGAAAAATAACTAAATACGTTAAATATATGATGATAAATTATTTTCAGTATTTTGTTAGAAATCATGGCTGACAATGGATAGCGGGAAGCAGAGGGGATTTCCTTTTGCAAGAGTTTGTCTTATAATTATCTGTAGTTACATAACCAGAGGTTTTTTAAAAAATAAAAAAAAAGTCTGCAGTTGGTGTTTGATTTTGGGGGGCAGATAGTACAGGTAGTTTCCTTTGTGAGGATTGGTCATAAAGTTACTTTTTCATCACTATCATGATTGTGAACTGTCACTAAGTGAGCAGTCATTAAACTTACAAATATTCAATTAAAGTTATGATGGCACTGAATGAATGGGGGTTATGACCAGTCCTCAGAATTTGGGCCATCCATGGTCACATGATCGCAATCTGAGCACTTGGCAATTGACTCACTCTTACAACCAGTTTCAATGCCTTGCTATCACATTTACCATTTGTGAACTTCCCTGCCAGCAGCCTTGCCATGCCTCCCTCCCACCCTCCCTGTACCTTCCTTACAACTCTGCGTACTCTTGCTGGCCCTCACCCCCTTCTTCACCTCCCCCACACCCTCCCAACCCTTGCTACACCTCTCTTGCCCTCATCCCATGACAGCAGCCACTTACCTATTTGCCAACCTGCTTGCAACAAGCCACCCGGATTTGCAACTTCCTGTCGGCTTCCCCACTGACATGGTTGTGGACAGTCAGCAGGAAGTTGCATCATCTACAGACCACATGATTTTTTTAACAATGACAACCCGGACTGCAGGGATTGCCATTGCCATTGCTAAGCAATGCAGTTACGTTTTATGGTTGCATCACTTAGAGATGGAGAATTTCGGTCCCAATTGCCACTGTTGATATGGTCTTATATGTGGGATCAAAATGGCAGTTTGGGATCAATGCAGTGGTGGGTTTCAAATTTTTTTACTACTGGTTCTGTGGTGTAGCTTGGTGGGTGTGGCATGGCTTGGTGGGCGTGGCAGGGGAAGGATACTGTAAAATCTCCATTCTCACCCCACTCCAGGGGAAGGATACTGCAATATCTCCATTCCCTCCCCAATCCAGTGGAAGGTTACTGCAAAATCCCCATTTCCTCCCAATTAGCTGGGACTCGGGAGGCAGAGAATAGATGGGGGTGGGACTAGTAAGAGGTGGTATTTACCGTTTCTCCGAACTACTCAAAATTTCCGCTACCGCTTCTCCAGAACTGGTTAGAACCTGCTGAAACCCACCTCTGGATCAGTGCTCTCTGTATATCTGCTGACAATAATGCCACATTAAGTTCAAATGACCTTATACCCAAATTGCAAGTCTAAGCACACTTATGTGGGAATAATTTCTATCAAAGAGAATTAGGATTTCTCCTTACAAAATGTCTAAAATTAACCCTGCCAACTTTTGGATTACTTAAAGATAATAAAGCATTTTAAAATGGATGCTCAAAACACAAAGGAGAAACAAAACCTACAATTTGTTACAGATCCTCATTTTCTCAAATACATGGCAGTTAGAATTAATTTAATCCTAATGGGTATTTCTTCACGAGAAACAACAGCTTTTTGTGTATGTTAAGTAAATCCTTTATTTTATAGTGAACTATTGTCTAAATTACTCCTCGTGCATTATATTAAGATTCATAAGCAACATATTTGAGACAAAAGAAGCCATAAGGGACATCTGGTGTCATTTCATGAAACCATTTTTGATTACTAAAAAAACCAGCTTCTGTAATTTCTTTCCATTGTTTTATGTTTTTCTACTTCTAATAAACATAGCAATTGTTGCCTCTGTCCAACAAACATTTTTAAAAATACTACTGGCCTGCTTTTAGCACATAAAATAAAGCAGAAATTCAATTTGCAGCACATTTTTGTGGTTAACACACACCAAGAAATTTGTGAAAATCAGCAGAAATATTTGAGAGTCTATCACTTGTCAGGAGGAAATAGATATATTTAAATCATCATCTATCCTGACAGCTTATTACCAGCAAGTAATAAGCTCGTGTGCCATTACAAACCATTGTGCTGTATTTGAGGTTACAAAAGATTCAGGTACATCTCCAATGACAACCGAGTGACTGCTTAAAGGTGCTGATTTATAATGGCTATAATAGCAACAACCTCCACTTGAATAGCTCAACAGTTCCTCGCAGTGCAAAATCTAGGAAATACTAATAAGAAAGAGCTGCTTTTGACCAAGGCAATACTGTAACAATCCCTAAGGTCCTTCCCTTTTTTATACTTAATTCTATATGATTATCTCTACACAAAGAGAGGCTGGCTGTAATAATGTGCAATCAGAAACCCTTAAAGTGAATCCAGAACTAATTTATTTTTGAACAAAAATATAGCCCATGCTATAAAGCTTATTTAACATAAGTTAACTAAAAATGAGGTCACCTTGGTTTATTATTTTTTTAGATTTTTCAATGTACATATTTGTTTTAACATTGGGGTTTTTTGGTTTTGTATTATTTTTTATTTTTTATTTTAATCTTGTATCTGGTTATTTTTTCTTTCTCTTTATATAATAAAAGCATTTTAAAAAATACAAGAGAGAGTGTTTAAAATTTACCTGCATTAACCCAAAAACTGAAAAGAAGAAGATCCAAAGGACTGCAAATGTTGCTCCATATTAATTTTGCAGGTGTGTATGTTAACCTGGTTTGTTTCAATAAGCCCACTTTTTATGGTTTAGAACAGGGTTTCTCAACCTTGGCAGCTTGAACTCCCACAATCCTCAAATACTTTGTGTGTGTGTGTGTGTGTGTGTGTGTGTGTGTGTGTGTGTGTAAACAATTGCTAAAATGGTATCATTATTAGAGATAATATAAAGTGTTTTTATATTTCATTGCTGTATCTTCAAAGGAATAATGTTACAGTGAGCAATGTGTCACCTAATGAGCATTTTTTTTTCTTTGTACACTTGTATGTGATGAGTCATTTCTTTTCTTGTGTACTAAGTGGAAAATAGTTGCCAAATGATACCAGAATTACTCAAATGGGTGAGCCTGGAACAACTTTTTCCAGGACTCAGAAGGTATACATCAAGGTAGGCTTTCACAGACAACATCAGTCCAATGATGATTCACTTCTCACCAAGAGGCCTACTGATGTTTCAACTAGCAATTGGCTTGCATCTTTAGAGTTGAAGGTGATCTGTTCTATGCCATACTTCTTGGAAGTTCACCGGCATCTGAGCAGGAACCAAACCTGCACCTCACTCATGAACAATTTGGATACATTTCCTCCTTCTTGACCTGTGAATTGTAGCTCTGAAGATGCTATACTCCTTGTCCATCCACATTTGAAGCTTTTTTGGGACCTAGAAACTTAAATGCTTCTCAACTTTGCTTGCAATCCCCTTGCCATGGCTTCAACCCATGGTTTGATGATTGCTACATACGAATGTACATATTTAAAACAAATGATATGAACCCTAGAACAGTATTACTTTTGGTTAATAAAATTGACCCCGTTACTAATTTTATTAGAACTTCTGGAAAGCATAAAACTATTCAGCTATATAGAGCTGTTGGGCCTCTTTATTTTGTAAAATAATGGTGTTTGTTTCAATAGTTTTATTTAAACATGAAAACCAACTATATTCCATTTATTCCCAACAGAGCTTTAGAGCAGTGACAATAAAACTTTACTCTAAAACAAACAAATAAATTACAAATCAACTGCAGAGAAATACAAAATATGTTAATTATCAATATTTAAATATTAAAGCACCCATTGATTAAAAAAGCAGGCATCCGAAGATCTAAATGTTCTAAAATGTAAGCTCTTTACTTTAAAGCTACAAATGAGGAAAAAAGATACAGCTCTTTTTAAAAAGCAACCTAATTTTTTAAAGTAAACTGTTTGATTAATACTGTGATTTTTTAAAATCCAACATTTAAGACTTTATAACATTCCCACCAAAGAACGAATAATGTCCTTTTTTAAAATTACAATCTGTCCAGCCTCTCATATTTCTGTATTATAAGTTAGGGGTCCCCAACTTGTGGTCTGCAGAGTGATACCGGTTCACAACCAGTTAGGAACCAGTTCATGCAAGTGAGCGAAACTTCATCTGCGCATGCACGGGATCTAGGTAGGATGTGAAACTATTTCCCCCTCCGCCCGCTACCACTGCTGGTCTGTGAAAAAAATTGTTTTCCTGGAAACTGGTCCCTGGTAAAAGAAAAAAAAAAGGTTGGGGGAAGCTGTTATTGGTGATCTCTCATAGAAATTAAATATCACCAGTATAAAATAGTAAGATATAATTCCTACACTGAACAAATGAAAAATACGCTACAACAAGATCACAACACTTCATCATTCTACTGCTTGCCTAAATGTGATTTCCAAACATCTTTTAGACATAATGCATGATTATCTTTAATTACTTCCAAGAAAACAAATAAATAAAATGTGATGCACAAAATAGTTGAGCATTACTTTCACAAAATCAGACAATGGGCAGTTGAAAGATTTGATTACCCATTTAATTCCTAAAAATGAATTTATCTGAAACCTAAATAGCTACAGCATTTTATAGCTTAATTGTTCTTCCCTTTGTACCTCATGTTGTGCTATTTTTCCTAAATATATCACTGTTGAGAAAGTATAGTGTTTATCATGTCATATTAGTTCACAAACAAATTGACAAAAGTTAGGTATCCTGCATTTAAAAAATGTTTTAAAAACTACCATGTTTCCCCAAAAATAAGACCCTGTCTTATATTTTTTTGAACCCTGAAATAAGTGCTTGGCCTTATTTTCAGGGAGGTTTTATTATTTTGGGGCACATGGAGCAAGATGGGGCTCCTATTGTAGTCTTACCTGATTTCCAGTTCTGTGTTTAAATATTTTCGGGGAGGTCTTATTTTAATGCATGCACTCAAAAGCCCGATTGGGCTTATTATCAGGGGATGTCTCATTTTCAGGGAAACAGGGTATTTTTGTAAACTAATATTTGATTTTATTTGATAATCTCAGTACTATCTCTGATCAGCACTGGGATGTGGAATTGTACATCCATTATATATTTTGTGAGGGCACAGAATTTCTTTATCTGAAGCAAAGTATTATTAGCATTAGGTAAAAGAAATGAAGAAAGGAGAAAACAAGTTAAACAATTCAAGAGATCCCATTGTGGACTTTCATCCTTTTTGGCCCAGCAATAAAAGGTGACACAGAACAAGATATCTGCACTAACAGGCAGTTTTCCAATGAGAAGTTTGGCTTTTTCTATCTTTCTATCCATATCATAATGAAACTCTAAAAGTTTAATGAACTGCACATTTTAAATTCTTCCTGTTTCCTATTGGACTACCATGCAGTTTAACAGAAGAAATACAATCTGAAAGGAAAGCGGCATGAAACTTAGTTTATCTATGTCAAATTTTTCCCTCAGTTTGTGAAATTTTTTGAAGAGCCAGCTAAATGCTTCACTTCAATAATTAAATTCCTTGTGGATTCCATTAGATTATAATACACTTATTAAAAATTTAACTAACCTATTAACTGGGAAGGATCAAAGGTATTGTTATGTCTTCACAATAATGGAAAAATGTATAATATTAAACAAGTACAGTACCTACATCAAGACTATGAAATTTTGTTAATGCATTCATACAGTTTTGCACAATCCTATACTTCCACATAACAATAATTCCAATCTTTTCTCAGCACATTTACTGTCTTTTTAGTAGGATATTTTTTCTTCCAAATAATTAACTGAAAAATCTATTAAAAAGTAAGAAGGGGACAAGAGATTGGAAGGGCTGAAGAATCTCAAGCATAAATAATGTTGAAGGTTAGCCAATTTGAGAGAGGTGGGTTCAGAATGTAGGCCTAGTTAAATTCCAGTTATCACTTTTCCTGAATCATCTCTACCCCGTTTTTCTCTGTTTTTTATCATTCCAGTGAAGCTAATTTTCTCTATTCACCATGCCATCCTATTTTTCCTTCCTATGTATTTGTCTTGAGTGCAAGTGATTTGTGCATATGTGTGTGAGACGTTTGATACACACAGAGAGGGATTCAACTAAAGATAGTCCTCAATTTACCACCACAATTGAGCTGAAAATTTATGTTGCTGAGAACAGGTTTGTTTTGCCCCACTTTACAACTTTTCTTGCCACATGTATTAAGTGAATCACTGCATTTGTTAAATTAGTAACATGGTTGTTAAATGAATCTGGTTCCCCATTGACTTTGCTTGTCAGGAGGTTGTAAACGGTGATCACATGATCCCGGGAC